TTACAGCTTCGGGTTTGAGGTTTAGGGGATAGGGGTTTCGGCTGCGTGTGTAGGTGTCAGTAGTTTTGTGCACGTGCTGCCTTGGGTCCGAATGCAAGTCCTGCAGCTTAGCTTAGATCCCTTCTCGATCAAAAAGACCATCAGATAGGTCTCTTCAGATTACCCATAGGCACCAAAGTAGTTCCTTCTTGTGGCTATATTTAGACTTTAGAATCCTATAAGGTAGTACCCAAACACAGGTGGTCAGTCCTTTATGCGGGCTCCTGGTATTAAGGCCGGGTCTAAACTCCTGCTGAGCCTCAAGCCTTATAACATCCAAGGATGTCACCCCTCATTTAAGGATTTGACGGTTAAGGCCTTAAGCTGTGAACCCGACATGAACAAGTATGAATTCGAACACTCATTCGCCTAGGTCCTATCTTTACCGTTTAACCTCAAGACTAGACTTCTAGAATAATTGGTCAAGTCCTAACCTCCCCGAATGTGGGAGAAAGCCCTATCCGAACATCTCAGGATCTGGGGTATTGTGGTGGGCGGAACCATCCACACGCCCCTTTGCTGGCACTGGGGAGTCTCCACAGTCAGAAAACCCAAGGGACTCCAAAACCCTTGATAAAGGTCCCAGGAAGTCTAAACAATAATTGAGCCCACACCCAAACCTCACACCTTATACCTAACCCCAAATCCTGTACCGCACACTAAACCTAGGACCTAGAGTAGGCCCTTATTCCTTTTTTTGCGGTTCAGGTTCCCTTATAATTAACCGCCTTTAAACCAAAAATGAGACCCTTTATATTCCTAGTTACTCTTAGGTTTAGAAACCCAACACTAAGGTCCCAGGAAGTTTGGGTCACGGCCTCCGGCCGCGTTGTTCGCTCTCATCATGGGAAGAACTGTGCCCTGCGCCGAAAGTATGGGCCGTCCGGAGGCTCAGTAAACGCGTTTTTTCGGGTTCTCGCGAGTGGTTCTACCATAATTATTGCTGCAAAGGCTTCCTTGAAGCGCAAGGTTCTAGAAGGGCTCCTATACAGGATGCTATGAGGGTTCTGCAGGGGGTTTAGCCATGATTCTGGGGCGGTTTAGGGTTTTAGGCTTTAGGGATTTGAGTGGGGCTTGTAAAGGTCAGGAATGAAGGCCTCAGGCAAGACACTGTTCAGGGTTCAGGATCTAGGCATTGCCGGAGGCTTTAAGAGGTCAGAACCGACTCTTTTGTAGGAGGGTTGAGGGACTGGGTTGAGAGATTAGGGTTAGGGGTCCTAATCCGTAAATGTGGTAGTGTGTGAAGGCTCATAGTGAGTGGGCAAGAAGGCACAGCTTACCTTTGGTTAGTAGGGAATGGAAGAATGGTAGTATAGGTAGTAGTAGTAGTAGGTAGTAGTAGTAGTAGTAGTAGTAGTAGTAGTAGTAGTAGTAGTAGTAGTAGTAGTAGTAGTAGTAGTAGTAGTAGTAGTAGTAGTAGTTATACTTGTACCCCATTCCTCCATTCCCTACCAACCAAAGGTAAGGCAGACACTACTGCGAGCTGTTGGTTGCCCCAAAACCAGTGCGATTTTCAGCCCAACACTTGACCATGGGTGTACTTGGAGGTTCATGGGTAGTTATATGTAGGGTTATAAGTATGATAACTGTACTTATAACTCATATTATAAGGGTAGTTATAAGTAGGGTTATAAGTATGGTAACTATACTTATAACTCATATTATAAGGGTAGTTATAAGTAGGGTTATAAGTATGGTAACTATACTTATAACTCATATTATAAGGGGACTTAAAACTATACTTATAACTACCCATGAACCTCCAAGTACGCGCCCCTCCCACCCTGGGTAGGTTTGGCGCGATGCCACATAGTAAATATTGCTGCTGCGGGGCCACACACTGAACCCAAGAAGCTTTTGACCATAAGCCGGAAAACCCTTGTGTACTCCTCTGGTACCCCAATAGCACCCTTTCAAGGGACTCTACAAGCCCTCATAGCACCCCTATAGTACCCATCATGGTAACCTTGAAAGGAACTCTAAAGCCCTACCTTAACCCCATATAGCCTACCTTTTAAGGACTAATTATATAAAGAGATCATGTTAGGGAACCCAAAAAAAAGGGTAGGTTCCTTAGGGTCCAGGTAAACCCTAAACCCTGAAACCCTAAACCGTAAACCCTAAACCCTGAAACCCTAAACCCTGAAACCCTAAAGCCTACTAAACCCCTAAACCCTAAACCCTGAAGCAGCACACGTTCCAGCTAGAGGCTTCCTCAGTGGATCTTAGACGGCGGCCTGGAGAGGATCATCCAGGACCTTACCGCCCCAACCGATCTGGTTCTTAGTAGGGAAAAGGGTTCCTTTAAGGGTTCCTTTAAAGGGTCCTAGAAGGGCTCTACTAGGGGTCTTAGGGTATCTACAGTTCCTGTCTGGTTCTTGGTAGGGAATGCGGGAATGGGTTATGGGGACTATTTGTTGGGTAGCATATAGGGGCTACTATAGGGATCCATTCCCCCATTCCCTACTAAGCACCAGGGAGTAGCGGTCGACCTCAAGGGTCTAGGGTTGAGGGTTTTAGGATGGGTTTAGGGTACCGCACACCATAAGCCCTAAAGGTCGACTTGTGAAAGTGTTGAAGCGCCCTGTTGTAAAGCTTTAAGTATATGGAATAACTACAGCCTTTGTTGGGGCTTGTCAGGGCCTGAGAAGGGTTTTATGCAGGGCTTGGTGCCTAGGTATCTGAGCCTGGGATGGCTATGTATGTGGGGAATATGTACGTGCGCCTAGAAAGTTTTCGACAGGCTTCCAGTGGCCACTTTCTCGCATGTGACAGCCTTGGTGCAGTAAAACCCAAACCCTAAACCCTAAACCTGAAGGGTTTAGGGATCTACAAGCTCCTACAGCCCGAGGCTACACACCTCCGATCATTCCTTCAAACAAACCGTCCTACAACCCTGAGCTTCAGCTTTTGGGCTTATGAACGCTTCAGGACTATCTGCCTTGAAATATGGTAAGATCCCAAATCTGATTCAACTTATGTTCCTACTTACTAAGTCCCATGGTCCTCCAAGTAAACCCTACTTGGAGGCCCAGGGGACTTAGTAAGTAGGTTATAAGTACGGTTATAAGTACCCTAAATGGAGTTACCCCAATTATATCAAGGCTTGCACTAACCATGCTCGCTCGGGGTGGGTGCTTCTAACATCTTTGGGTGCTCGCTCGCTTGTCTGCGCCGGCTGCTTGTTTGCATGCGGCGTGCTGCGCAAGCGAGCGGGCACGCAGTTTTGTTAGAAGCACGCAGCTCGAGCGAGCATGCATTGGGTTTTTGTGGAATCTAACCCCAAACCCTAAACACCTCTACTGCGAGTCTGAGGCCTCAAAAGCAGCGTCGATTTTGCATGCTCGCTCGGGGAGGGTGCTTCTAACATTGTTGGGTGCTCGCTCGTTTGTTTGCGTCGGCTGCTTGTTGGCATGAGGCGTGCTGCGCAAGCGAGCGAGCACGCAGTTTTGTTAGAAGCACGCACCTCGAGCGAGCATGGCTAGCGAAAGCCTTGATTATAACCCTACTTATAACCTACTTACTAAGTGTCCTGGGCCTCCAAGTAACCCTGCTCAAAAAATGGCCCTAAACCCCTAAACCCTGAACCCCAAACCCTAAACCCTAAACCCTAAACCCTAAACCCTGAACCTCTAAACCCCTAAACCCCTAAACCCCTGAACCCCAAACCCCTAAACCCTAAACCCTAAACCCTAAACCCCTAAACCCCTAAACCCTAAACCCTAAACCCCTAAACCCCTAAACCCCTAAACCCCTAAACCCCTGAACCCCAAAGCCTTTACCTAAGGAATCCTCGAGTCTCTGGGAACCCTGAAACCTGAAGCCCGAACCCAAGTGGGAGTTTCCGAAAATAGGGGACCCTAATGTAGTACCCTAAATAGTAGGATCCTTTTTTTTTCCGAAAATAGGGGACCCTAATGGAGTACCCTAAATAGTAGGATCCTTTTTTTTCCGAAAATAGGGGACCCTAATGTAGTACCCTAAATAGTAGGATCCTTTTTTTTCTCCGAAAATAGGGGACCCTAATGTAGTAGCCTAAATAGTAGGATCCTTATTATATGGACCCCGAAATAAGGTTTCCCCATATTTCGGAAACCCCCATGTATTTCTCCACACCTCACGAGGAGCACTGGTCTTTTCTGGTTTCCGAGAGCGAGTCTGTTGCAAGGCACCATGGCGTTCCGTCACATAGTTGAACCCAGCGGGTCCGACAAAGTGTTTCATTATATATATATATATATATCTATATATATATATATATACCTATATTTATTTGTTCACATATATAAACCTAAACTTTTTACATGTAGATACACAGATAAAAGCACATAAGTGTGTGTGTGTATATATATATATATACACACACATGTACAGATACATGTGCATGCACATGTAGGTATGTCTGCATGTGTATACAAATATACAAATATACATATGTATATATATATATATATATATATACCTAGACCCCCTACAACCTAATAAATAGTCGGTAACGAAAAATAACCAGGTTATTAAAAAGAGAACTGGGGTTTTGTTTAGAAACCGGGTTTTGGGATATCTGGAGGATCAGCTGTTTCGGTACGAAACCTCACTACAGTCATTCGGAACAACATCCTTCGATACCCCCTGAAGTAACCTGCGAACCAAAACCTTTCAAAAGCCTCACCTGCCCAAGATCTTTGAAGCTTTTCGTAAACTCACCTTTCCACAAACCCAATCCTTAACGATTCCATATGTATCCCACACCGACAAGTTCAAGCCAGAGCCCCCGCCGAAGATAAAACCAACTTCCCAAAGCCCTTTGGACCTTTGTCGTCGCGACGGACTTCGATCAGACGCCATGCCGGGCACTCAAGGAAGACACAGCTCGAGTGGGACCATGTATATTTACCATATTATGTTCTACACTATGTAGGAAATCTAAGCCACTATTCCCACACAAATCTCGGTGTGTGCTGTCATCCTTGCTCGCTGCTGGCTGCCGGTGCATCCTCCACCAAGAAGCCTGCCTTTAGATACTGCCTGTATGCAGCCTGCAGATGCCTCTCCGCTACTCTTTTCGTAACTGTGGCCGGGTGGAGCCTCCTGCTGGTTCGCGAATTTCTACCAATATAGTCTTCGGCAAGCTGCACCGAGTACACGAGGGGGTTGATGATGTAATCATGGCGCTGGGCCGGCTCGATCAGATCCTGAAGACAGATGTGGTGTACACAATGTAATTTCGGAAGCAAGTTAAAAAGGCATCGACGCTGGCGCACAGCCTCTGTAGCGCACCACGAATATCTCCTGAGAAATCGCAGGCCATAGTGACCCAAAGTTGTTGCCGTGTGACGATCGAGGAACACGTCGCTTTCATACAAGCCCGAAAGAAACTTGTTCAAGGCTTGCACAGCCTCGACACTCCTCGTCAGCAATGGGTCCTCAAAGGTTTTGTCTGATAAGGTCGCTTCGATAAATTCGCAGAAGGTGGTTGACAAGGAACCCTTGAACCATGAGCCGCTAGGGAACTCTGTGGATTTGGGCCAACATATTGTTTCCTTTGTCACCTTGTGCAAAAGAGCTTGCCGCTTGTTCTCCCGACACCACGTCAGGAAGTCGTCTGATAAAAGCATGAAGCGGGCGTCTCTGGACCGTCCAGCATAAGTTTCGCTGAGTAGCGCCAGCGTTGAACCAATCAGCGGCTTGCAAATGCCCAAGTGGCACGAGTGCCACAAGTCAAATCGGAAGATCGAGGCAGCCGCCCCAGGCTCGTGCGGAAGTGTTGCCAATACCGAGGGTTCATCGAAGGGGTCTTCTTGCAAAAAAGTGCTTAGCCAGGACGGCCTTTCTGTATGTATGTGCTCGAAATCGTGCTCCCGTCGCCCCGCCAAACAAAGGTGACATATCCCTGTTGGGTTTTCCGCATCTTTGGGCTTCTTGACGGCATGGTTAAAATTCCGAAGGAGTCTTCCAGACTTGCAAAGCCACGGCCAATCTCCTGTGACCGCAAGAATGACGGCATGAAACTTTTTGTGTCGTCCTTGGTCCCATAAGCCTTGATACATCAAGAAGTCGTTCTCATCTTTGCAGTTCTGAAGAAGCAACTCGAAAGCTCCATTTTCCTCGTTGTCGTAGATGGCCTTAGGCCAGCCAGCCTTAGCTCGCAAATATGGTTGATCAACTTTATGGTTTCTGGGGATCGGGTTGGGCTTCTACATATTTTCGACTTGCATCAATTTTAAGATGTTGGGTAAATTGACTTATATAAGACTTGAGAAACCATCGTTTATACTTTATATAGCACTTAAAATACTTTTATACACAAACGAAATGACTGAATTCGCTTCTGGGTTGCCTGGAAGAAACGGTTCGTGAACGAGTGACCTCGAAAGTTCGTTCGAAGTTTCAGATACTCTTTTCGGACTCCGTTTCGTTTGCGAGCTTTGTCTGCAGGGGCGCTGCCGCGCCCTAGGATCGACGAATAGCTGGTGACCAGAAATGCTGTTCTGCGTTTGCCTCGTCCTTCGTCGCCGTGATAAATCAGCGGGGCGCATCTGCCCAGGTACACACCTTTTGCCTCCAATTGGAATATGGGGTGGCTGGGGTGGGAGACTTTGTACCTCGACCAGAATTCATTGAGTATGGCCTCTTCTCGGGCCTCGTCCCGGCCAACAAGCCCAGTCACGATGTGCCAACAATGAGAATCGATAAGGAATTGCATCCAGTCCCGAAGTCGCAAGATGGCGAGTCGTTTGTTCTTCAGCTCGAGGTATGAGAGGGGGATTTCTTTCTCTAGACTGAGACGATACCGCTTGACTAACAGACGGTGAGTGTCCCTCTCAGCGTCATCCTCTTTGCATCTGGACAGTTCTAGCAAACCGCCGCTAGCACGAGCCCCTTTCTCCCCGATGTCCCGCACCACATTCCGAGCTGCACGGATAGTCGAGGAACAAGAGGCCTCGGCACAAAGCAACGGTAATCATTCAAGTATTCTTCGCTGTGGCAAGGACATGCTGATCGATTGCCAGAGTCACACGTGCAAGTACATGGGTGCAAGTAGATTTATTTGTTCTCGCATCAAGCACTTGTACGACCTAGATACCGGCAGTGAAACCTTTATGCGCGAAGCTTTCTCTTGAAGCTTCTTTCATTTCCACTGGGCGGATGCTTGAATGATCTGTACACCAAATATGTCATGAAGACATCGTCTGAGGTCGTGCTTTCCGTGACAGTGTCTCCTCCTTGCCGAACATTGCGGCATCCAGGTCGGCCTCGGCTTTAAATTCTCCTAATATATCTGTGCAAAGATTTCTGTTATTTCCCGCTCGCTCGCTCGCTCGCTCTCTCTCTCTCTCTCTCTCTCTCTCTCTCTCTCTCTCTCTCTCTCTCTCGCTCGCTCTCTCTCTCTCTCTGTCTCTCTCTCTCTCTCTCGCTCTCTCTCTCTCTCTCTCTCTCTCTCTCTCTCTCTCTCTCTCTCTCTCTCTTCTTCGCTCTATTATATCGCTCTGTCTCTCGCTTGCTCCGCATTCGTCTGTTGTAGCGAATCTCGTTTCTCTCTCTCTCTCTCTCTCTCTGTCTCTCTGTGTCTCCCACGGAACTTACCCTAAACCCTTAAATCCCATCATCTCCTGCGAGTTGCATTGGTACTGATTGATTAATGCTGCTTCAAGCATTGCAGGCCCGAAGGCCTCGTGGGACACGTGCAGTATAACCATCTGGGCCCAAATATCCTTGTCCTGGCAATAGCCATACAGAGCCTTCGTCCAGCGCCATATCGGGTTATGGGTGAAGCCGAACTTGAACACCACAGGCTCCAGCTGTTTAAAGTATTCGTCCACAACACGGATGCAATGTTGTAAAACAGAACCCGCAATAAGACCTTTGCGTGGCAGGCGGAAAAGCAGCGGAAGCTTTTGAGCACGGATCTCAGACATCAGCCGCTGAGTGATTTCCATGACTCGGGGATTGTCAACTAAACAATCAGGATGAACGTGTTTTATTGTGGTTCCGGGATCTTCATCAAGCTGGGGTCGTGAGGAGGAAGCCGAAGGTGCCCCAGTGCCATCGGTACGGTTATCAAGAGGTTTGCTCCAGGGAAACGGGCCATCGGAAACCTCAGCTGCACACGCGCTGCTTAATTATCGACAAAGTCAGAAAAGCAAACAAATACGGTGCACCAGCAAACACTTGACTGCACAGTTTCAGACCTGAATGCTTGACATGCCATATATAGGAACGGATCGATGACAAGTCAGTAGCTCCAGCAATTCATCCTCCGCAGATTCAATGCTCATGGCCAGCAACGACAGGCCCCTACATCGAGTCAACCCCAGCTGACAACTAAGTTGGGGCCGAAAAACCTTCGGCACATACCTTCATGCTTTTCAAGACCTCGATAGAATGCGGGTCGTTCCAAGGTCCAGGCCCCTTCACCGATCTCGGCAGCGAAGCCACGAGCAGCGAACCCAGCTTTAGGACCTGGCCCAAGTTGTTTTGGCGTACTCTCCATCGACATGATATAAATGCGGACGCAAGGAAACATCATAGTTGGCAGAGAGCATTTACCCCACTCAGAAGCATATCACTGCTCAGCATGGACAGCTTGTGGCTAAACCACAAAGCACTGAGTCCCGGATCGGAACAAGTTTGGAAATTCGAATTGTCACACACATGTCAATGTGACTTGGGAGTTCGTGTGCAGTCCGGCACTGACATCAAGTTGAATAGCCGATCTTGTTTACATATAATATAGGCTGGGTTGGGGGCGGAACGTGTTTTAGAGATACCTAGTTTAGGCAGTTGAGGTCGGGTACAGGCTTGGATTCGCGAAGGGAACATTGTCAGCTGAGGCACAGCTTTGACAGCTACATTCGAAGAGGCGTGGCCGCATCGCCGCAGCCGGGTCTAACCCCTTGTCATGCCCGTTCTGCACACTAAACATCCTTCCCAAAGTGCAGGATCACCCGCACTGTTGCAAACCCATCAAAGTGGAAAATCAGCCTACTTCTTGGTTTTATTTTTCTTCGGGGCAGCACCATTCCCATTCTTCGAGGGTGCCGGGCGCTTCTCGCCCACCTTATCCATGTACTTCTTGGCATTCCTGCGAGATTCGGGTTTAGTTAGTTGATACATATATAGGGTTATAGGGTTTAGGGTTTATAGGGTTTACGGCGTACACCTGGCAGTCCTGCAAGATTCGGCTGTAATTCAGGTTTTGTATTGTATGTATATATGGGGCTATGTTTGATATGTATATAGGCCTTTTGGGCTTCGTAGATGATCGTGTGGGGTGCGACCAGATTATGCTTCGAACTCAGGAGCCTTAACCCGGAATCCCCAACCCAGCAAAGAGCTCAACCAACACGAAACATCGGTCCGGATTCTCGTCTCGGCAGCAACCGCTTTGCTGCACCTCAAACGTATGTAGATTAACGGGTTTGGATGTAGTGAAGTGCAAAACCATAAGTTATGCGTAAGAGCTGAGAACCGTACACGAAGGTGGCCGTCTTCATCTGCTGTTCAGCCTTTGCATTGAACCTTTGCTAGGACAGGCACAAACCAACTTTGAATATCGTTACCAGGTTAAGGCTAGGTACGACGCATCGAAGCCACTCACCTCGCCCTCGCTGTAAACCACCTGGCTCCTTTCGTGCTCGGCTTCCATCTTCTCCACAAAATCGTTCAGGACCTTGATGTGCCTTTGCGTTCGTGGGCAGCTTCGGCTTTGGGCTGAGACTTGCAAAAACTATATATAATTAAGAGTGGGTTCTTAACTATGGGGGTTTCGGGGTTTAGGGTTTATAGGGTAAGGCCGGGTTTACGAACTTCATACAAATGGGTTTTGCTGGGTTTGTCAATCACATCCCATTCAGATTTGTAGCTTCTGCGTATCAGCATCCTCGTAGTTTTTGGAGAGGTCTTTGGTGAGGCCACGAATTTTACCAATCTTAGCGAGGAGGTCCTCAAGGAATTTCTTCAATACGCTGGCGGCCTGCATCAGATACTGTGCACACACAACAACAAATTATCCACACTAGCTCACAGGGGTAAGATGTCATATAGAAAGACGGACCTTGGAGCTCTGCGAACTGGCCGCAATCTGCTTCTTCGTGTCATTCTGGCTGTTCTTGTAAGCTTCCACACCCTTGAACGAGTCGCCCGAAATTGACAGAGGTTGATCAGCCTAAGTCAAGAGCGAACGCAGCATGAAAACTATAGATGCCGACAGTTATTTCTGCTGCAACACATATATGCGTCAATCTACGAAACATCATTTCAACTTGGAAGCCTTGCCAAGGCTACTCTGTCGTTCTTCCACAGACAGGGTCTCCTTCCTAGCCCCGGTTTCCCTGATCCGCACCCAGAATTCCTCCACCTCGTCGTAGCAGTTCTTCCTTGGTTTCTGTAAGTCGGGATAACACAGTTCTTGCAGTGTTTACTTTGAGCGACAAGAAGGACTCCTTGCCCCATCCTGGGCCCAGGCCGGCAGTGGGACTCGCCCATGGCCTTGCATGCGCGGATTGCCCCATCGATTCTGGTCCTGAGGCCGGCATGTCATAATTATACAGTGCCGCTTGTATCTTCTTATCAGCTATACACATGCATTGTGTCACCACGAGCCGGATAGTTCAGGGCGTGACTGGGACCATCCAAGTTCCGTCTTCATCTCTGATGCACTGTACCAGCCCTCGTCGACCTTTAAGGTGTACTTCTCTTTTTTCTTCACTATGCGTTCGAGCTTCTCCAGGAACATGTCCTCACACCCATGGATTGTTTGGCGGCATGAACCATTGAGTTGGGGGGATCAAGAAATCCAATCATGGGGGTCGCTGGCACCCCTAGGTCCTTGGAGAAGTTGCAGTCGCGAAGCAACAGAGTCATCTCGTTCTTGTTGCCCTCCCAGTGTTTTCTAGCATACTCGGGAGCCTCCAACTCCTTCTTCTTCTTGTGGACTTTCATCATACGGTTCAACCGGGATCGGGCCGCCAGGAGCAGCTTGTCCTCCAAAGCAGATGTGGAGGCTGAGGGTCAACATAGTTCGAAGTTTCGGTAAGTTTTTAAGATACGGATCGATGCATAGGTAAGGTGGGGGTGTCTAGTTCCAGTGCACACGAAAGTGGTGCCGTTATTTCAATTCAGTTAGATATAAGGCTATAAGTAAGTGAAGGTAGGAACATGTATATATCTATATAGGTCTCCAATAGGATATTGGGTGTCGACTATACCCTAAACCCTAAACTAAACCCTAAACCCTAAACCCTAAACCCTATCCGAAAGCAAGACTGGTCAATAGAATTGCAAAAAGAAACGTACGAATTTGTAATGCCTGTCAATATCAACACTATATACACACATACCAAATCGTTATACTATATATAACTTATAGATTGTATCTGTATAAGGAGTGTATATCTGCCTTGGGCAGCCGGTCTACGTATTGGTCTGTAATATACAACTGAACTAGACTTTCTTGTCTGTCCTGGCGCGTATGTTCCTTGGTGAGCTTGAGCTTGCTTTCGATCTTGACCGGGACGGGTGTAGCAGGTGTTCTCGCTGGGGTCGCGATAGGACGACGCACTTCGGTCGGTTGCTGGGGCTGCTCAGGCGGCGCTGTAGACTTGGGCTGGGAGGCCAGGCTCTTTTCAGGAGTATCCCCGAGGGGCTCGGCTTTCACAACCGTCAGACGCACATTTCTGAAATAGCTCAGCATCTCTTCCTCAGGAATGTCCTGAGATTCAACGAGATGGTACCCTCGATCGGGTTCAGAATGAACCAATGCAGCTCGATCTGAGAATTAGGAATACATGCAGCCAGGCAACATCGACATCGATGGGCTCCTCTTCGGTGGCTGAAGGCAGCCCAGCACATCGTAGATCTTCGGCGGTTGCCTGGGCAAGGGATGCATTGCTCATAACTGAAGCAAACGAGGAGTTGAGTGCGGAGGTTATCTAGAAATATATTGCAGGACTGTATTCAATCCTCGCGACAGGAAGCGTGTCAGCTTCAGAGATCGCCTTGGACCCATCCGGCACCTGATTCTGTAGAAGACAGCTCCTACACAGATCGGTAGACACAATCCAATTGAATATCATTGTCGCTTTCTAGAAGCAGGCTATTGACCAAGGGGCATGATTCTGCTCGGCCAAGTTCGTGGACTCCAGAGCTTCCAGTTCCTCGCTCCGGGCTAGATTTGGTATTTTGTAATCTAGATTATCTGGCTTGTGTATATGAAGTGATCGATACATACGACTGCTAGAGTGTCTCCTGGAGCTCTCGCTCGAGTTGGGCTTGCTCGTCGTCTAGCTTCGACAAGTTTGCATCCGTCTCCACAAAGCACACCCCGGCATCTAGAGTCGCCGTGCTCCATTGTTTCGAAGCTACCTCCATGGCCCCGGCACTATAGGAGCTGACCTGCGATTACCTGGCACTGGAGGACCTGCGAAAAGTGTGTTTGGGGTTGTCGGAAGGTAGAAGCATCCACACAACCAAGCAAAGCATCCTTCAGAGTTGATGACAAATCGGATTTTCGTGCAGTGCTGAACGGCTGTGCGCGCAGTCGCACACGATCTTATCGAATTGTACCTGTACTTGAGGCCTCCAGTTGTGCTTCAGAAGCTGACTTTGGGGGTATCCTAGCGGAAGCTAGCAACCCATATTTTAAATATGGGTTTATACGCTTTAAATATGGGTTTAATACGGGTTAAATACGGGTTGGGAAAAGTAGGTTGTAAATGGGGTACCAGCATATATGGGTTTTATACGGGCTGCGTACGGGTAATATATGGGTTTTATACGGGTAAATACGGGTTTAATACGGGTAAGCCTGGGTTGCATACCATAAAACCACTTCAAAATCAACTTGGGGGCTACTAAAATGCTTAAAAGTGCTTCAGAGCTATACTTCAAGATCCCATAATCATCCTGGATCGAAGCACAATTCTTGAGTTCCCTCAAA